ATCTTGCTTGTCAGACCTTGGAGCCCAACGATTTGTGTCACTTCACAGATCATCAAGTGTCATCCTCCCAACCTTTAGCTCACCCAACACATTCACCCACAACATCAACGCCAGTGGATGACCTTGCTGCTGAACTATTTGTGATCACCCTAAGTGACATCGAGGGCAACCCAGATAGTCATAGCAAACTCTGGGTCTCCCAATCAGAGGTTCAATGGGATAAGGGAAAAAGCTACTCTCTGGATGCTATGGCCAATCTGGTGTCTGGACTCACTCTCAATGATATGCAGTAAGCATTGTATCTGACATCACCTTACATCAAGCCCTTGTTAAGGTCATGTGCTCAAGGGGGTCGGATCACAAGGGCTTGGCCTCAGCTCATATGCTGAGCCCCTTTCCCAAGTATGTGCCCTTAATTTCCAGGGGCTAGAGCAGTTGTCTGGAGTTTCCAGGATTTGACTAGGGCGGACAATGGACGTCTGGATCTAAAATGTGAGATAAATCCGACGGATGTCTGGATGTTACCTGGGCAAGCGGATAAGACTAATCCAGACGAAGTCTGGACTAGAAACTAACAGAGGATAGACTACCTTAAGGTAGAGTCGGAAATGTAGTCTAGGATGCAATCCTAAGACTCAGAATATGACAAGAGACTTATCTTGAGTCCAGGGGACACAGGAATGAGCAGGAACTAAGATGATATTTGAACTGGAGTATTTCTGAGAGCTACAGGAGGTTTATATACTGTATGTATCATATAGGGATCAATCAGCAAACATAAAGGCTATGTACAAAGTATATGCAAAGTCTATTAGTAAGTAGGATGGATCACAAATAATGAACACTGGAAATGAAATGTATGTAATGGATCAATAATCAGAAGGGAAACATGGTTAACCAGAGTCCGGAGACAGGGGAAGTCTAAATGGGGTTGGATTCCGGAAGGAAGATATAGATCAGATCATTTGAGATCTGGATCTCAGATCCGGATATCCAGAGAAGCAGATTTAGAGTTGAGAGTTGAGAGTCCAGAATGGCATATGACAGCCCTCTAATTTGGTTGTTTCTTAGACATATTGCCTGTGCTCTCCAGGCTGTCAAAGTGCAGCACCAGTCAAGGGCCCAAGTAACTTTGAACATTGTAGAGTCACAAATTGCTAGAGCTTGTACTCGAATTTTCTCCACAACTTCTCGCGATGTACTATGTCTCATACAAGATGAGCTAGGTGGAATAACTACAACCCTCAGAAAAGTCAAACACAAGGTCTCCTCCATCATTTCTCATAGAAGCCAGCTGGAAGCCTCATGTGATGAAATGCATAGACTGCTCACCAACAAGGAAAATGACCTTCCTGTGTCATCTCAACCAGTCAAGTTTGATTCTTGTGAGTTCCATTCATTTCCTCCCTATGTTCCTCCGACTAATGTTCTATGAAGCACATCATTACAATTTGCCAATTGACTACTGTGATGAGATTGCCCATCTATCCCTCTTTTTAGGGGCAGTTTCTGTTGTCATCTTTGGTATTGGTCGCAGACACAGGGAGTTTCTCATGGGAGTTCTTTCCTTAATTTTGAGTCTTGTGATGGATGCACAGGACCCTCATTCCAAGTCTCATCAGCAAAACACTCTTGCTCAGATTTCACAATCTATGGAAAGTGCGCTTTCATGCTTCAAGCTCAATGGCCAGACCACTACTTACACAGTATGTCCGGCATGCAATTGTACTTACAAGCCAATGACCAACCTCAACACAAGTAACACACAATATCCCATGAATTGTTTCAACAAACCCACACCAGAAGGTGGTCCTTGTGGTGAACCATTGCTGCAGTGCTCTGCTAACAGGCAATTCAAGCCAATAAAAACATTCCTTTATCACCACTTCCATGACTACCTTGCCAGATTGTTGTCTCATCCTGACTTGGAGGCCTTGATGGACAGGCCTTGTGATGATTTACTAGCCTCCATTGGGACTACACCACATATCGTCAAGGACATTTGGGATGCAAGTTTCTTTTGCACCTTCCAGGGTCTGTCCGGCCAGTCTCTATTTATTGACAGAGGCAATGAAGGCTGATATGCTTTCACACTCAACATTGATTTTTTCAATGTTGAAGGCAATCATCAATGAAACGCATCAACATCCACCGGCATCATCTCATGTGCATGTTTGAACCTCCCCCTCAATATCTGGTACAAACATGAGAACATGTACTTAGCTGGTATTATCCCTGGACCTTCAGAACCTTCAGGAGACAAGTTGAATTTCTTCCTCGATCCTGTGGTTGATGATATGGTTGAAAGTTGGGAACATGGAATACATTATAGCCGCACAGCTCTCAATGCTCATGGCTGGGTTACACACAGTGCCATAGCATGTCTAGTATGTGACCTCCTGGTGGCGAGAAAGGCCGCTTAGCTAGCGGGTCCAATGAGCCATTTTTTTTGTACTGCCTGCCATTGTTGGCACAGATCAACTTGCAGTTGAACAGATGTTCAGTCTGAAGATTGGAGACTTCAGGACAAGGATGAAGTGTGTCCCCATGCTGAACTCTGGAAGAATGCAAGAACTTCTGCAGAAAAGTTGTTCACATCACATGGGGTGTGGTGGTCGACACTCTGGAGGTTACAATACTGGGATCCTTCTTGTCAAATCATTGTGGATGCCATGCATTGCCTGCTGGAGGGTCTTGTGCATGCTCATTTTTTCGAATTTTTAGGCCTCACATCTGATTCCACACATAGCAAGCCTGATGTTATCCCTGCTTTTACTTATCTCTTCCTTGACATTGACCTCAACAAACCTCAAGACTTCCCAGAAAAGACATCAGAGTTGTCAAATCAATTCAGAGTCTCCTTACTGAAGCAGTCCCCAACCTTGAAGGGAATGACCCACAGCTCATCAAGGATCACCTCACACAATTAGAGAGAAAATTGTTGAACAAGACAGTTGCATCCCTTCAGTTTGTGTCAGAAGGATTGGGCATCACACCAGACATCCCTCATGCTGGCAAAAAAGGCTTCAAAATCTATTGGGTTAGATCGCTCATCAGTTGGGTAAGTATCTTATTTGTTGGTGTTATCATATGCTCTTAAGCTGCCTCTGTGTAGTGTCAAACTCAACCTTTCGCACCTGGGCTGTCAAACTTGTGCATTGCTACCCCAGAGGTCATGTGACACATTACTGATGTGATTAGGACAATGGATATGCCATCCTCAATAAGATCAGTCCCCCATAACTTCGGGGAAACAAAAGCTGGAACCCTGAAGGCCAATGAATGGTGCATGTTAACAACATTATACTTACCCATAGCCCTGGTTAGCTTGTGGGGTGAGGGATCTACTCACTGCATGTCAGAAATTGCAGTCAGTCATCATGCGATCCTTGATCATACAATGGCCCTCATATCTGCCATCCACATTGTGTGTCAACAATCTATGATGATGGCTCAAGTAGAAGCATACCATGGATGCATTATTGACTGGATGAGGGACCTGTAGGTGTTGCTTCCACATGCATCCCATCACACGAATGGCCATATGGTGTTGCATATCTGGGACTACTTGCAGCTCCTCAGTCTGGTAAGGTCATGGTGATGCTTCCCATATGAGCGTCTCATTGGGCAGCTGCAATGGTTGCCCAACAATCACATTTTCAGTATGATTCTAACTTCTGTGTCAACAATGGACTTATGCTGCCTCACGCAGGTCAGCAAGAATCCACTCTCCTTCACTCATACATGAAGGCTGCAAAGCTTAAGTATTGGCTAAACCAACCTTCTTGTCCTCCCATGTTTAGGGAGGTGAAGTCTCTATTCAACAGACTCGTATCTCCTTTAGTTGACGCTGATCCTATTTCTGTGTCCAAAGATCATCCCCTTACACAACAAGTCATTCCAGATGACCTCCATCAACTCATCCAAGTTCGGCAGGCAATCTTGCATGCTTGCACACTCCATGAGGGATCCACCTATACCTGTGACTCCACCCATGTAGGCAACAGCCTCATCCTCTATTATCATGGCAGTATCAGGAATGTGCCCCCAACACCAGGGATCATCAAGTACATTTTCAAGATGGAGCAAGTAGTGGGCTTTGCCATATGCCATTACCTCCCTTTGCATTCTCACCCCAATCCTTTCAGACACTATCCTTACTTTCCAGCTCATTTATATTCTACAGCACTCATCAATCATCTCAAAACTGGCAAGCCTGAGTGGGTGGTATCACACTTCGCATGATGGAAATTTTCTTCACAGCACATTGTTGCTGTGTCCTTGTGTCGAGTATGTCCCTCCCCATTTTTCACATGTCAAATCTCATAATGTATAGGACTGAATTTCAAAATGCAGATTCACCCACTTGCAGTGGGGTTCTGGATCTGGGAAGATCTGGACTGAGTCTGAGTTATTCACTATAAAAGGCTCCAAATGTAGAATTTGTATCTTTTTCCCTTCTTCCCTCTTTGGAATATATCATCCATTATTGCCGTTAGCTATCTGTACATACATATCTGCATATCCTATACACATTGCTATACATATACCCTGTACATCTTACCTACCATGAATGTTGCAGTGCCTGTTGAAGGTAACTCTACCATAGAACCAGTTATGCATCCTATTGTGGATGGCCCCTATCTAGGTCCAAATGACATCATAGATACACCTATCAAGTGGGACAGTTCCACCATGCTGCCATTCACAACACTTACATGATGCTGGCTTGAAACTATCAATGCTATGGGTAAAGAGATGAAAGGTTACTTCATTGGCCTGATGCCAGCTGGGGACTTTCTCCAGGAATTCTTTCCAACCTCCCAAATTCCCAATTATGATCCTTCATCCTTCACTTCAGCCTTCGCTATTGGTGCATTCAACAACACAGTCTCTGTTTGAAATAAGGAACAGGCTTACACACCCTTCATGAGTATACCTATGTACATATGTTAGTGAGATTATTGATCGCCTAACCCCAGATTAACGCCATCACACCTTTTGCTCCTCAACTGTTGTTTGTCAACACTCACAAACACAAAGACACAAAAAACTATTCAAAATTAAATTCAATGGTATTCAACATCAAGCCAGACGTCTGCATGTATCCCAATGGATGCGAACCTTCATCTCCCAACTGCGATGTTTCTGCCACAGAAATCATCATAGAATTCAAATGGTCACCCTCCCACAATGCATTCCGTCACCCTGGAGCTGATACCCTCATGTCCCAGACAGAGAAGGGTATGGACACCCTGGGACAAATAATGTGTTATTCTGCAGCTCAGCTCAACACCCAGTTCCATACCCATGTATTCTCTGTCTTCATCATGTGTGGTTGTGCTTGGATCATCAGATGGGATAGGGAGGGGGCTATCATCACCAGCGCCATTGACTACAATAACAAGCCAGACTTGGCCGATTTTTTCCATCATTACTCATGGGCATCACCTGAAATGTGTGGTGTCGATACTTCCATCACGCTTGCTGGCAATGAGGAGGCTGACCTCGCAAGGTCATGGCTAAATATCCCCAGCACCATTTGTATGTTCAAATTCAATGTCCCTAATGCCGAGGGCAGAGACATACATGGACATTGTTTGCTGGACATCACTCATAACACAGGTCTTCAAAACCAATCCCAGATCATCCTCGAAAGCAAATTGGCTCATCGGGAGAAGCAATCTTCCCAACCTTATTTATGTCAACTGCAAACCACTTGACAGTATCATCCATGCACTCACTGAGTTCTTCTCGCATTGGTACATGCAGATCACTGAGCATCAGCAGATGGTATTTAATAAATTCTGGCTCACATACAAGAAAGCAATGCGAGAAGTCCCTGTCGTACAAGATTTGTTGACAGCTTCACATGTGCTCATGACAGACTCCCCTGTTTACCAGAAGGAGATAGGTATGAAGGTCCTGGGCTTGCACAATGCCATGATAGGCATTTTCAATAACCACCTTGATTTATCTGGTTGGCCTGTCGCAGACTCTGCCATTCCACACAAACTCAAGTAAGAAGAGAAGTGCAAACCAGTCTTGGTCATGAAGTCCCAGTTGTTATTTTCCTCAGGGGTAGAAGTCACACCATCTGGCAAGCGACATAGGCTAGATTGTGTGGACAATGATGTGGACAATGATGGTGATGACCTCAGCTCGATAGCTGACCTGGATGCACTTACATCCCTTACTTGACCTCACCATGTAACTTCCTGCTAGGTACTACCATATTCCAGTTGTTCATGAGTTTACATTATAGTGCATTTCCACTGACAAATGTGAATGCCTGATGAGTACTTGACACGAACAAGTGCTGATGAGCACCCAATGAGTGCCCACATCATTTTTCTCATGTTAAAAGTTCACATTTTACATACCCCATTTTAACTTGCAAAAAATTTGAATATGCTGCAATCAGAAAATGTCCCTAGTTACATGATATTCTGAGGAAAACTTTCCTGTGCTCAAAACTTTGTAATTTATGGTGCTCAAAATGGTACATGAAATGCTTGGGATTTTGGCACATGTTGAAATTTTTGATCTTTACTGGGTCAAAATATATGGTAAAAACGCCAACTTTATCACTGACATTTTGAAACCAATCTTGCACAGTCAAAAACTATGAAACCGCCTGTGTGTCACTTACTGTCTTTCACTAACAATTTTCAAGTGTTTGCCTCTCTTCTCTTCTTCTTTGATGTTGATGTTGATGTTGGAGGTGGGTGGTACTGGTACTGGTACTGGTGTTTTGAACTCTGGTGAGTCTTTTTGTCTTTCTTTGTGTTCAACTCTCTGACATTGTCTTCCTCCTCCTGTCTGGTGAGTTCCCTCTTTATAGCTATCTCCCTTCCTCTTCCTCCTCTAAGTTTCGCATTTTTGCCTCTTTGGTAAGTCTCTCTCTCTCTTCTTCTCCTTCTCTCTGACCCCTCCTTCTAGCTCTCTTCCTTCCTCCTCCCTTTAATTTTCGCACTTGTGCTTCTTTGGTGAGTCTCTCTTCTTCTCCTTCCCTCTCTGATCCTCTCCTTCTAGCTCTCTTACCTCCTTCTCCCCAACAATTTTCGCATGTTTAACTATTTGGTGAATCTTCTTAGTGAGTCTCTCCTCCCCTCTCCTTTTCTCCTTTGATTCTTCTTTTGACCTTAGATTTTCGCATTTTTGTCCAGTTTAATAAGTTTAATCTTTAGTTAGTAGTGTATATATCTATGTAGTAGTTACTTTGGATTTGACTTCAATTTTTACATTTTCGCATTTTGGGTGTTTTGAGTATCATAATTGAACAAATATGGCTGCTCTGCAATGTACAGATTGTACAAGCCTGTACAGACTGTACAGACTCCACAAGCTCACAGACTGTACAGACTGTACTACCTTGTGACACTCTTGTACAGGACTGTAAAGAAGGGACTTCCTTGTGTCCCTGTGAAGCTTGTACAGGTCTGTACAGGTACCCCCTGGTTTGCTGATGTTGAAGACATCCTCCTGCCCATTCCTCATGTAAATTTCATGGTTCTTCAGTAAAAACTACACTAATCTCCCACTCACAGGTTCCAACTCAAAAGCCATTAATTACACTTATTCAAGTCTATTGAATACAGCCAAGCTTTTTCAGTGCAAAATGGTGCCCAGGTGAGCTGTCTGCATTTTTGACTACTTCTTGTTCTTACCTCTGTACTTTCAGTCTTCTGCAGTATGCAGCACCTACCCTTGTTCCCATTCACAACACCCTCACAGTACTCAGGCATCCTGTCATATGCCATTCCAGACCCTCAACTCTAAATCCACTTCTCCAGACATCTGGATCTGAGATCTGGATCTCCAATGATCTGATCTATCTTTATCTTCCTTCCGGAATCCAAACTCTATATCAGTGCCCAACCCCATTTAGACTTCCCCTGTCTCTGGACTCCAGTTAACTATGTTTCCCTTTTGATTATTAATCTGTTACATACATTTCATTTCCAATATGCATTATTTGTGATCCATCCTACTTACTAATAGACTTTGCATATGCTTTGTACATAGCCTTTATGTTTGCTGACTGATTCCTATATGATACCTACAGTATATAGACCTCCTGTAACTCTCGGAAATACTTCAGTTTGAATATCATCTTAGTTCCTGCTCATTCCTTTGTCCTCCGGACTTGAGCCAAGTCTCTTGTCACATTCCAAGTCTTAGGATTGCATCCTAGACTACATCTCTGGCTCTACCTTAGGGTAGTCTGTCCCCTGTTAGTTTCTAGTCTGGACTTCATCTGGATTAGCCTTATCCACTTGTCCAAGTAACATCTGGACATCTGTCAGATTTATCTCACATTTCAGATCTGGATGTCTGTTATCTGCCCTAGTCAAATCCCAGAAACTCTGGATGACTATTCTAGCTCCCAGAAATTAAGGGCACATACTCAGGGGAGGGGCACAGCATATGAGCTGAGGCCAAGCCCTTGTGATCTGACCCCCTTGAGCACACGACCTTAATACATCCCTGCTCAAACTCTTTTCATCACTCTTCTGCCACTCTCTCTCCAATACCGATGGAGCAATCGAACTCCAGCAACACCCAATGTGGTCCATCTCCTCTCATCAGGTCCTTGTATTGTTGAAGTTCCCACAGTACAAGACAGAAAGCTATGTATTTCTTTGCGTGCGTTTCGCATCACAGTGGTTTAATAATTTCTGTCCAGGCTTTGTCTGTTGCTCACCAGCCAGAACATGATGAGGCAAAATGAACCCAGCAAGATCAAATGTGCAGCCAAGCCAAAGTTTTAGTATCACAAACTCAACCCTCCAATGCCTCAACCTCCAGGACACCTCCTGCTCCAGGTGTTACCATATTATGTGCAAGACCTGCACATTCATGCCTTGTCTGATTGTTAGCTCATCAAGTACTTTTTCTTTGCTGCACATCCCCTCAACTCACTAGTGGCAAACCACAACCAACACAGTAGCAATTGCAAGGCCAAGTGCAGACCCATGCTGTATCATCACAAACATAGCACCAGCAAGGTCAACCTCAAGGTCAACCCTGGGCTCAGGTGTCATCCACAACCTCCACCTGCTGCCCCTCCACATCCGCAATACCTACTGCCCTTGATGCTCATACTCCCGCAGCAAGTGAGCAGCCACACCCCCTTTCATTGTGACCCCATTTCATTCTTTTTCAATGCCATGCATCTCCCTTGTATGCAGATGGCCATTAACACTGCAGCATCTGGACACCTATCTTATCTTTGAATCCGGTTCTTTTGTAATTCTTGTAATCTCTTTGTTCATGCAACCACTTTTTCTGCAATGCATGCATGCTACCTGGCTAATTTTTGACATGCTACAGTAATCTTGCAGCAGTTTTCCATTATATTTCCCCTTCCGTCCATAGCAGGACCATGACAATCTATCATTAACAACAGGGCCAGGCCTGCTAATGTTCATCTTCTCTTCTCCTGTTAACCACTACTTGACTTTGGAATCCCAATCACTCATTTGGCCCTGCAGCATGATAACCATCAGGGAATACAGCCACATGCACTCAGTATTCATGCAAGGATCCAGCAGTAATGCCTCAAATCTTGAGGCCCATCAGTAAAACCTCAGATTCATTTTCCACCATTGTGCCACTTTCCCCACCTTAGTGTCAGTACCAAGGCATGAAAATTAGTACAAGCAGTGATAACTCGAGTTTCCCACATTTTCCAAAGTTGCCACAAGAGTCATTAAGAGGGTTTGGCATGCAAAAGAAAAACAATGGGTATTCAGAGAGCAAATGGTAGTATATATTCAAAGTGTGTACAAGTAGCTAATCCTAGCAAAAAGAGTCAAAATGTGATCTCAAATGCATGATGATTGGCATATTTGTTAACATAGTAGGCTTGAAATGCATCATATGAATGATAAAATTTGAGTTCATGAGGCAAAAATTCCATACTGTACACAGGAATAAGATGGGTAGTACAATAGATGGCGTTGATATGAATGATGGCATGCTTGGGGGAATTGTTTGCACTATATCCTGGATGAACTATCCACATTCCTGTGTCTTCATCTGCAGTGTCACTGACTTTGTCAAACCAGTGTATCACAGCACAGGGATACACCTCACCCTGGTACTGAAATGAGAAAAATGTGTGAATGTGGGTGACTTCAGGGCCTTGCATGCCAGGTAAACTGGAGTCTGTGTTGACAAAGACACAGTCATGTCGTGAATGCTCATTCCACCAGGAGGGACAGGACCAGATGTATTCAATGTGCATGCCACCAATACTGCTCAAATTGCTTGGTGCATAGAAACATGATGATGCCAAAGTGAAGACTGAGATTTTGTTAAGATAGCAAGGGCAATTGGCAAGAGGTACATTGGATGGGTTGCAGGGATTGTTAGGATGCAACTGTTGGAATAAGAACCACCCAACAAGGTCGGGTAGGTGAGGGATATCGAGTTCGTCAGCAAGGGCAGGAACAGTTTGAGCGCGTTTTTTGCCCTCTGTACAGTATATTTAGTGTGACATTAAACTCAAGAAAAAAGAGGTCTTATGGGGCATTTTTGCCAGCTGTACATATGCTTGTAGAACTGTTGGTCCATCATCAATTTCTAGGTCCCCATTGATGCTAACCAGGGGAGGTGCAGGTGGTGTGAGTATGGGTTGTGCAGGTGGTGCAAGTATGGGTTGTGGATGTGCCTGTGTGTGTGCAGGTACAGCTGCTGCTGAGAGTTTGTCAAGCTGTTGATTGGTCAGTAATATTTGACCAAGCACTTTGTAACAGCTCAATCGTCACCAGGGCTTCTTCACCACTTTGATATGTTTGTTCTCCATTATCAATGAGCAGAGGCCATTGAGTGCCGCAAAGAGTTGTATATTTCGGATGTACTGCACAAGTGAATGTTGGCAAGGCTGGGAGAAGGTAGAAATGATGCCGGTTGTCCTGAAGATTTCATGGTAATGGTGAAAGTGCATCTTCGATCTTGAGTAGAGAGTCTTCTGTGATTATATTCCAATGGACTAAGTAAGTGAAGTCTAGAAGTGTGTGAAAGGCATGCACAACATCTGTGGGTACATGACCCTCGATGGCAGGCAAATAAACCTGGCAAATCAATATGGTGATAGCATGATAAAAAACAAGGAGTCACCTTCATCTGGGCTTTTGAATCATCCCTGGTCCATTGTTTGAAGCCACACCCTTGAGGAAATCGCCATAAGCCTGAAAATGATGTGACAGCAGCAATTCTACAGCAATGAGTAGCATTTTAATCTAAATTCAGTTGAGCTTACCTGCAATCAATGTTGTCCATGATTTTCTCTGCCTTTCATTTGCAGTGCGTGTGTCTGAGGTATTTCTCAACCCACATCATGAGATGATCCTTGAAAGTTCCTTTCATGAGCTGATGGAGGATGTTGGGAGAGATCATTTGATATATATCAGCTTGGGGAAAGTCATTTGTAAATGGCTGTTGACATACATTTATTAATATAAATGACACTGAGATGAGTGTGCTGATGTACTATGAGTTGCTTGACTATTCCAAAATCGTCCCACAGATCACTGTCAAGATTTGGAGTGTCTTCAATAAGGGCCTTGGTATGGTCACATGAATGACATAATGCACCTTCATTGAGATTATCACAATTTGCCACACATCTAGAAAACAATATTAGCAAGGAAACATATCAGATAAAAAAAATGTACTTGGGACACCTGTTTCAGACAATACATGCTAACAGTACTTGCTCCTCATAATCTGCTATGTAGGGCCCTAGTCCATACAGTGGCTCAAAAAACTGTCCACATGTTTTGACATTTTTCACTATCTATGATATTGTGTGAGAACGAACAAATGCCTCAAGGACATGCTTATACCACATTGTAGTATGGCTTCAGGGCTTTCATTTGAGCCATACACCGTGGGAATCGGTGGAGATATGGTGGAGACATAAGGCTTACAAAATCATGACTCATGTGGACAGTTTTTTGAGCACATATTAAAACTATATAAATCATCATTTATGACACCATAACAATCATGCCACCATTAAATAAATTATAAAGTGGTGTCATTATGTCATTATAAAACCATATCTAACTATACAAACCAAAAATTTCCATATGTCATGGTTATATTTACCATGAAAGCCACTCCCCCTGCTCAAAGGGATAATATCCTCTCTCTTTCCTATTCTGGCCTCTCTGCTTGTCAAATTTCCTCTAGAACTGGAGTATCCAAGTCCACTGTGGCCAAGTTCATCAAAGAAAGTCACACAGACAAGGAAAACTTCTGTGAAGGGTGTCCATCCAAGCTCACCTCTACTGATAGGAGGGCCATTATTCAACATATCACTACAGGAAAGGCTGATAATGCTGTCCAGGTCACCTATTACATCAATTCCACCATCACATTCCCTGTCTCTTCACACACTGTGAGAAACATTCTCAAGACAGCTCATCTCAGGTCAGTAACAAGGAAGAAAAGGCTCTCCTCTCTATCACACATATGCAGAGAGGACTAGCACCCTTCTTTTTTCACATATATACCTTGCCATCTGACCCAATCCTATTTATTGTGGTCTTATATGATCATATAACATGCTTCCAGTCCATGTAATCCAATTCTGATGGGCTAATGCAAAGGTCAGTCATCTCTGTTTATGTGTGATAGAGAGGAGAGCCTTTTCTTCCTTGTTACTGACCTGAGATGAGCTGTCTTGAGAATGTTTCTCACAGTGTGTGAAGAGACAGGGAATGTGATGGTGGAATTGATGTAATAGGTGACCTGGACAGCATTATCAGCCTTTCCTGTAGTGATATGTTGAATAATGGCCCTCCTATCAGTAGAGGTGAGCTTGGATGGACACCCTTCACAGAAGTTTTCCTTGTCTGTGTGACTTTCTTTGATGAACTTGGCCACAGTGGACTTGGATACTCCAGTTCTAGAGGAAATTTGACAAGCAGAGAGGCCAGAATAGGAAAGAGAGAGGATATTATCCCTTTGAGCAGGGGGAGTGGCTTTCATGGTAAATATAACCATGACATATGGAAATTTTTGGTTTGTATAGTTAGATATGGTTTTATAATGACATAATGACACCACTTTATAATTTATTTAATGGTGGCATGATTGTTATGGTGTCATAAATGATGATTTATATAGTTTTAATATGTGCTCAAAAAACTGTCCACATGAGTCATGATTTTGTAAGCCTTGTATCTCCACCATATCTCCTCTGATTCTCATGATGTGGTGCTCAATCCAAAGCCCTGAAGCAGCACTACAATATGGTATCAGCATGTCACTGAGGTCTTTATGTATTCTCACACAATATTGTAAATAGTAAAAAATGCAAAAACATGTGGACAGTTTTTTGAGCCACTGTATATGTCTTCCTTGACATCTGCATAGAGGTAAGTGCTCTTTACATCCACCTGATGAATCTCCCAGTCCTTCTGGGCTGCCATGCTTAATACGGTACGTATTGTGCTCATATTCGCTGTTGGGGCGAACATGTCGAAGTAGTCAATGCCGTATTGCTGACGTTGTCCATTCACGACAAGTCGCGCTCTTAGCTTGAGCTTTTCGCCATCGGGGCCTTGCTTAGTTGCTAACCCGAAGTGGCAGGGTATAATATTTGATCCACGAGGTAAGTCCACAATGTCCCATGTTCCCAACTTCTCCAGCTGACTGATCTCGTAGTCTAGTGCTTCCTGCCATTCTGGACCGTCTGGACCGTTCAGAGCCTGCTGCAAGGTGGGCTCTGGCTCAGCCATCGCTAAGGCTAAGTGAATGTGAGCTTCCTTGTCTAGAAGATCCAAATCTGACGCATCCTTGAGGGATTTGATGGCTACAGCTGCCATTTGGCCCTTTTGGAGCTGGGCATAGTACCCTGGAGCTGGTCTGGCTCGGCTTTCCCTGGGTTCTGGGGCATTTGGAGTAGCGTTTGAAGTAGGAGTGAGAGTAAGCGGGATGGGCTGGATGCTAGGTGCGTTGCTATCAGTACTCATCTCCTCTTCTATAGGTCTTGACTCCCCCTCACTCAGCATATCCTGGTCAACAAGCACATCGGGTGGCGCAAATGTTACGTTTCGCTTGACGGAGACTCACCTTTTCGCCGGCCAGTATACACAGTACACCTTGCTATCTGTGTCGATCCTGACGAAAATGGCCTCCTCAGCACGTGGTTCGAGCTTTCCAGCATTTGCCTGGTGGACATACAGCTTTGATCCAAACTCCTGGGCCATGGACAGGTTGGGTCTTGCCCTATGGACAAGTTGGTGAGGAGTAGCGCCAGGTATGGCACTTGAGGGTAAGCAGTTCTTTAACCAGGTAGCATAATTCACTGCTTCCACCCACAGGAACTTCAGGAGGTCTCATCCTATGAGCATCGCTCTAGCGAGCTCGACCAGGGTCCTATTTAGGCACTTAGCCACTCCATTTTGCTGGGGTGAATTGTGGACAGTGAGTTGTCTCTCGATCCCCTGGTCCAACAGATACTTATCGAACTCTGCACTCAGATACTCCCCTCCACAGTCTGATCGAACTTTTCATAGACGTGTCCTGGGGTTTTGACGAGTAAGGTGTGCCTCATACCTCTTGAATGCCTCCAATGCCTCACTCTTAGCCTTCAGGAACTCAACCTTCATTTCACGGGTGTAATCATCTGTGAAACTAATATAATAGGTCATGCCACCAAGGCTGGTAGTCTGCGCCGGGCCCCACAAGTCCATATGGACAAGTTCCCCATAGGTGAGTGCACGCATTTTTGACTCTTGCGGAAATGGCCGATGATTTGCTTTGGCTTTTGTGCATGCTTCGCAGAATTTGGTAGGGGAGGTGAGGTTGACATCCAGACCTTCAACGAGCTGATCCTTTGCAACTTACAGGACGGCTTTCTGGGAGATATGGCCTAGGGCACAATGTACCTCAGCCAAGGTAAGTTTTGCCCTTGCAACATGAGCATGATGTGTTTTCTGACTGGCCACACTATACAGACCCTCGAGCTGCGGGATTTTGGCGATGACTTCGCATTTGGGCCCCTTCGACAAGATTTGGCACATCTTGCCTTCAAACAGGACCACTAATCCAGCTGAAGCGATTCTGTTGGTCAAGATTAGGGTAAACGCCATAGAGGGGGCATATAATGCATCCTTTAGGGTGACAGTTGTTCTCTTTTTCCCCAAGGGTAAGTCTATCTTGACGTCTCCTCTGCCAGTAGCACTGAGAACTGACCCATTCGCAGTGAATACGTCTTGTGGGGCGATAGGGACAAAGTTCGAGAACTTCGACCTGTCAGGACAGAAATGGGAGGTTGTGCCAGAGTCTACTATGGCTCCACAGCGTTCAGGAGGTATGTTCATCCTCTGGGCGATGTTGGCAAGGTCGTCTGTCACAAAAGCATAGTTCTCCTGGCCCTCTGACTCCTTTGCAGCATTCGCACTCTGTTTTTGGGTACGTCCTCCCCTCTTCCCTCTCTGGTTTGGTCCCTGACCCTCTTTTCCTCCCCCTGGCCTCCAGCAATCACTTTTGTAGTGGCCTTTTCGGTCGCAGTTATAACAAACTGCGTCTGGGTTGGATGGTGAGGAGGTGGACGAGGACTTCCCTTTTCCCGGAGGTCCTCTCGCTGATAGGGCCAAATTGGGTCCCTTCTTGGTAGGTCACTGATTGGTGAGTTGTCAATGCTCATATTCCTCTGAGACGATATTGATTAGTTCATAGGAGCTTATGGATGCACTAGTTATCTTCATAGCCGCGCTAATGGACGAGAGTAGGGGACGATAGGATTCCAGGAGGGATGCCAGTATCATGGCATAGAAGTCTTTCTCCTTGATGGCGGCTCCCATGCCTGCCAGTGACTCGCAGAGCCAAAGCATCTTGCTAAAGTGAGTCTTTATATCTCCGTTCTCCTCACATCTGGTCTCCTGAAGCCTTCACCTCAGATCAATCTGGACGAGCTCAGTTTTCCCTTCGTGAATATCGCAGATCTCAGCCCAAATCACTGAAGCGGCCTCGAGCTTCTGCACGCGCAGCAGCAGCCTATCAGTTATGGTGCTGAAGATTTGCTGTTTCACTAGTGAGTCCTTCTGGTCATACTCATTGATCTTCTTATCAAGAGTCTCAATCTCTGCCGTTGTTGGCTCACTGCCATCCTCCTTTTCAGGAGTTTTGGTCCTCTTATTGACCTTGTAGGGAACAGGTCATACTGCACATCCATCGGTAAACCACATCAGACCTCTCGCACCAATCGCTGTTAACATTCGTTCCTTATAGGTAATCCAATTGCTACCATCTTCAGCTAGCTTTGGGACGTTGAATAGGGCAGAGCTGGAGGAGGGGAGCGTGATTTCCATGGCTGTAGCAGGGCTCATAACCTGTTGCGAGAACAGGCGAGCAAACAACAGGAGAGGGAGCTAGAACACAAAGGTACGATCTCAGTTTCAACTAGAACTCATATTAACGTGTATAGTACCTAGAACACAAAGGTACACTATGGTTTTGGTCAGTAATTGCTGACATACATGTTTCCAAGTACTCACATCTCAGTTTCAACTAGAACTGAGATGTGCGCGTCTGATGGGTGCTTGGTTTTATAGGAAGGTAAGTAAGGAATGCAAAGGTGAAGTTTTCTGACATATGTATATTGCAGGGCGCAAGCCAATGTCATTTGGGCACAGCCTATTGGCCCGTCTGCCTCATGCGCTTGGACCTCTCTCTCTCGCTCATACCTATCATGTTGGATCCTTTGGCTTCCTCACTCTCTTTCTCTTCAGATCATTCGGACTTCAACGAAGCCTGTGGTGAAAATCCTAGTTTGCTGATAAATGCCAGCTTCTTTGAGAGTGGTATGAATGTCCCAACACATGTATATGCATTTCTGTTCGTGCAACCAGTGACTAGCACCTGTCCATCAGGGGAAAGGGCTGCGGAGTCTAGCGAATCATTTCGTGCTGGAGGGGTGGTCCGACTGGGAGGTTGGTGTCGGGATTCCATAGATACGCTGTTGAGTCGAATGATCAATGTACTTGCAAGGAGGCGGTTGTTCCGAGACAACTAGACATGAGCAGAGACTGGCAGTGTCGAATATCCTGATCAGGTCATATGAACAGATAAGCTTCTGATATCCTGAAAACCATTCTTCCATGTCCGGCTTTTGTTTTCAACTTCCAAAGCTACCGGACCAAAACCTTCCAGATCGCGCTCCCTACTGCGGTCTGGCTTTACCAGACCTTCCCCACCGACCGCTTTCATAGTTCAAACCACACTTTTCGAATCTCGTCTTCACTCAGATACCCTTGCGATTGTTGTGAACCATTTCACAAAAAACTTACTCACGCTGTCTGTTCCCTTGCTGCCAGCTTCCCTCGTTACATCCTCAACGATTCACGCAAGTGCAGTATGTCCGACACGATTGTTCCGTTCCGTCGTTATTAGACTAATCGGCTCTTCCGTCAAACTAGTGTGATATTACACAGAGCAACGTGAATCAACAAGTGTGAACAGCCTTAGGGACGACCATCAGAAGATCCATCAGACCTGCAGCAGATACTACAGCAGATACAACGCCAGATACAACGCCAAAAGCGAGTGCAGCATCCAGCCTGTTCTGTAATTGGTGCAGCTGCAGGAGTGGTGGTGGAAAGAGGGACTGAATGTGGAGGTAACGATGGCAGACATGTTGTAGTGGTAGCATTTGCCTGCGGAGGTAATGACGGTAACGACGGCGTCACGGCATGGGCTGGTGACTTTCCTGGCGGCGTAGGCGGAGAGTTCGGGCGTTGAGCCACAAATACAAACTTTGGTACAAATGAGTACAGAAAGGAAAAAGTAGGATAAAACAGACCGATGCAGTCTGACCGACAGTACGAGCACTAGGAGCGCGACGAGAGAAGAACCTTCGCCATGGGTGTGGTGAGAAGTTTGGTGCGATATCAACATCGGGCTGAGAGGGGGGGGACGATGAGAAGTGGTGCAAGGCAGACGGTGGCGCTGAGGGTGCATGCTGCGTGGAGGAGTAGTGAAATTGGTATGTCAGAGAAGAGCCGGTACACAGATATCAGAAGAACACGCACATGCACACCAATATAATGGTCTCGAGAATCGTCAACAACCGCTGGCGGTGTTTCATTCCCAAGTTGTTGCGCAGGGGGCTGTACATCGAAATGTCCTCGGGAGTCATCAACAACAGCCGGCGGTCTTGGGAGGACGTTCTCGAGTTGTTGCGCAGGGGGCTGTACATCGAAATGTCCTCGGGAATCATCAACAACAGCCGGAGGTCTTGGGAGGACGTTCTCGAGTTGTTGCGCAGGAGGTTGTACATCAAAATGTCCTCGGGAACCACCAACAGCTGGCGATGTTGGGAGGACGTTCTCGAGTTGTTGCACAGGAGACTGCACATCAAAATGACCCTGAAAATCGTCAACATCCGCTTGCGGTTGTTGGTGGACGACCTTGAGTTCCGGCACAGGATGTCGAGTAGCACTATTCTAGAGTATTCGAAGGTAAGTGAGATCCAAATGAGATGTTTTCATAGACGTACATCGCGTCCTAAATCGGACAGAACATCCATAATATCGTTGATGGTTGGGCGATTGGCTGATATGTTATTCAAGCACGGTGAAAGCTGTTGATACACCTCATGACTGCTTATGTCCTTGAAAGGCATATGTCCCCTAATTATTGCTAGAGGAACATGATTCGTTCTTATCCATGCGTAGGGTTGATTTCCTGAGAAGATCTGTCACTATTGTAAGAAAGTTATTCAAAGGTTAACAATCCGACAGACCTGCAACGCCACACAGCCAAACGAATAGACATCCCAAGCTTTGGTTGGCTTCTCGTCTTTAGTTTCGTCTTCGTCGTCGACTTCAGCATCGGTTTGGAAAGCCTCGGGGGGCATCCAACGTAGGTCTCCTGAATGAAGGGAGCTGAATGTGGCGTCTCCCGCCTCAGCAAGGATCATCGATAGACCAAAGTCTGCGAGACGGAGGCAACCAGAGCCGTCAACCAAAACGTTGGTCTGCCATTGAATTCAGTTACATACTACATGTAGATTGAGATAAGGCCTACCGCTGTCAAGTTACCATGCACGATGCCCATGTCGTGCACTAATAGGACATGGTCCTTAGTATATGGTGTGATCGCTACATTTGTGAAGAACGGAACATACGATAACTAAGACCAGCAGCCACCTGCCATATCTGAAATCATGGTTGAGTATAAGCTAGTGCAGTAGCCATTTGGCACTTACAAGCTCCAGTTTTTGAGGGTCAGACAGACTGGAAAACACGCGCTTCAAGTAATTGTGCAGCGATCCTTGTTCCATCCATGGAGACACTAGTGCCGGAAGTGGCCCGAATTCTCCAGCGATAGTCACACCCTCGAGAGGGAGAATATGGTCGTGATTCAACTGTATCCAAACGTAGGCCTCGCGACGAATTCTCTGAGGAGCAAATATATCAGTAAGTGGAACCGCATATCAATCCCCGCCCTAACATTGGCTATCGTTTTTATTAATTCATCATCTGTTGTTGAAAGGACCCTAAAAGATTTGACAGCGACCTTGAATATGATAAATGAGGAGTCTTCTACCGATGTTTAGACTCACAAGACGTCGGGTTCCAGATTGTGTAGTCATTGAACATTTCCAGACGTCACCGAACCCTCCTCTACCACTAGGAAATATGCCATCTCTTATGATGTCTGTCGCAGGAATAATCTTTGGATCAATTTTGAATTGAAATGACTTTTGCCAATTATGATATCAGTATATCATCAATGTGGAAGTAATATCAACTTACGAAGGGAAGATCGCTCATCGCGAAGTAAAGTTAGATCTCAGAGTTCAAAATGACAGGTGCTAGCTGACTGATGGGATGAAGGTCCTTGAAAGGAGACGAAGCGAACATTCAAAAAATACTCAAGTGACCTTCCCATTCTATTGGGAGCCGATCTACTTCGGGAAGCTACAAAAATGTACATTTGTTCAGATTCGTCCTCTAGCAAACGAAGTTTTAAAGTTTCTGCACTTGATCCCATTCATGATGACCACCATGCTTGGAGGACGCATTCGCATGTTCATCCCCTGGTTCAGACTCACTGTCAGGACGACCGTATTTCGGTCATATACGAGCCTCCTCTCGTTATTCCTACGACTGATCCGATATTGTCAAGTCGTTAGTGGAAAACATAGAGCTTTTCAGGAACCGGGTTCAGCATCGAGCCGTTATCCGACAGAGCAAAAGAAGTACACTTCTGAGAGCCTCGCAGTACCTGAAGCGTCATCACATAGCGCAGATTCGAAAGGCGTAGCTTCCAGAACCCGATCTCCTGGGTCCTCTTCTGCGCCATTGGTTCAACGAAACTATGGGAGCACGCCTGAGCCCCGCATTCACCATAACAACACCGCGGCGCCACCAGATCCTCCTGTGACAGAGCATTCCTTTCATATTACAACCCCCATCATACCCGGACAGATAGAGCGATCTGGTAGCAAACAGACGTACGCAAATTGAATCTCTCCACTGCATTTCCATTCTAATCCAGATCGATAGTAATCAAACAATGTATGAGATTCCGGCAGGTCCCTTGGACTGTTCAAAGTAAGCATGCTGGTGACAGAACGCGCAATGAGATTGACAAGCACTGTCAGGGAATTTGATCCAGTGCTGGGATGGGAGCCGCTCATACACCCGGAAGGCGCTTTGTTTTTCTACCACTCCAATTGTGTATGTCCGCAGTCCACTATAAAAAGTGTGGCTTTCCTTATATCTCCCATCAGAGAGTTTTCACTTATGCCGATGTTCGAGGCCACGAAACTGCAGTGGAAATGGACGAGATGGCTAAGAAGGCATACGAAGAAGCGCACAACGTGAACGCCTTTTTGGATCGTTCATCTGTGGAGCTGGTGTTAGAGCGCACAAAAGGGGAGGATAGCAAATGGGGCTACTACTTTGCCGATCACGACAAACGTGTCATTTTCTGGCTCAAACCCCATAAATCTGAAGAACTTATGGGTAACGTTCAAGGAGTGAACAGTGCAAGTCACATCAGCGAGTGCTTTCTATCAAATTTTCATTCCAAGTTATCTCATGACGTTATCTCTAGAGTATGCACTAGAATCACAATACTGGTTCGTATGGCTCAAAGTACGTATCTGCCCTTACCTGACCTACTTCGATGCGCTGATACCCTGTTACAGCTTTGTTGTTTCTCATAGTTACACATCATGATCTCGACAGGAAACATGTTGAACTATTTCCAAATGAGCGTTTCCTTCCGAAAGACATCGTCGTGAGACTCAAGGAAATTGTCATGTATACTCAGGCAGGTGGGTAAAGACTTGTGAGTGTCTTGCGTCTCACCGGAATGACTCGTGATAGACAGTATCACATCTGAAACTTGCCTAACACCTTTGGATTCGAATGAGATTGCAAGTACACTTGGTCTTATGGATTCTCTTATGAGTGAATCATTCCCTAATCCGGGTGGGTCGCTGTTGATCGTCTTTCCAGGCAATATTGGCCAGAAGCATGAACATTCTGTGTGGATCGTCGGCAAGTCCAGGCACCGAGGCTCAGTTGTTGTTTCTGACACATTTGATAATTTCAGCTCGATTTATGGGGCTTTTCTGTGAGTTTGGGCAAGTTGGTAGTGCACTCCGTCTCCTGACTGCTTCATCAGGCTTCAACAACTTCGTGAATTTCTGCGGACAACCGGGCGCCCGACTTGATGTGGGCCAGTCGTTGTACGAAGATTCCGACACGCAACCAAAAAATATCTTTTTCCGCGTCATGAATATCATCCTGTTTGGATCCCTTGATGCTCATAGCAAGGCTCTTCACATGATATGGGTCGATCGCACCATCGTTCGACGGCGGTGGAAGGATTTCATCAATGGGCTCAATAACGAATGGAATGGATATACAATATTCGTGAGACGTATCTCTACTTCATATTATTAATGCAACTGACGTCCATCTCAGTCTACGGTAATGCTTGCTGTTGACATCAGCTTTCTCGCGGTTCCATCCGTCCAGAATCAACCATCTGCAATTCTTGTATCATATCTGTCTACCCTCTGTGCTATGGGCTCGTTAGCGGTCTCACTAGTCTTGGCCGCACAAGTCAACGACAGCCGGCGAGATTCTGCTGAAAGCGCGGTAAGATTCCCTTTTTGGTCTATTTGACATTTAGTCATGTCCACCAGGCCTCGTTCATGGTAACGATATCACGCTCTATGCTCGGCCTCGAGAGCCTTGCCCTCGTGCTCACTCTGCCGTACGCTTTTCTGCTTTGGGGGTGCGTCTCAACCGGCTGTACACCATAGGATGGCGGCTCAATCATTGATAGAATGATATTCTTTGCTGTAGCATTGCTTACGCTGATTGTCCGCACTTCCGGTGTTGTCACTGTCTCGATTGTATCTTCCATGTGGGCTGTTGTGGTCATAGTGGCGGCGTGGCCAATATTGGCTGTCAATGGTTTTCACCTCTCTCACCTGTTTTCCTGGGTCATCCGACGCAGGACGTTCAACCTGCCCCGCTGAGGATGGGATTTGAAAAAAGATAGTGGTTGCTGTTGGGAGGCAAAATCGTCATGAGCAGTGAGTGCGGATGTACACAATACTACGAGTCTGCGCAATGACACAATCGAGAATTTTGACCTATTCAACACACTCTCACTCCCCAATCTATGCGCGTTCAAAGCTTACAATATATATCCATGGCCTCACGACGAGTTCAAGGTATTTTTGACGTGGTCACAGTTTCCCCTGCAGAAACTGTCAATGACTTTCAGCTTCGAAATGATGATAGAAATACCAGTGAATCCGAGTCTGGGCGTCCTATTAAAATTGATCTGTACTTTGGGGACTCGAAATTTACCCTTTCTCTTCTTCTCCTTCGTATCTTCCCCACTTTGCGCTTTTCTCTCTATTTTTATTCGTATTCTTCATCAACAACCCCGAGGTAAGCATTCATTGTTCCTGCCGACTTTCTCTCACGATTGTTCCGCATCTAATCCAATTCTTGGATCTCAACATGAGATCCATCACAAGCCACCGACCGTGTCCAACGCAAGTTCGGACAGCTTTGTCAATGTATCTTCTCTCGATGCAAGCTGCCACATATCAAAAGACATGATGGAGACGCCTTCCACAACTCGCGGACAGAACAAAAATCAGCTTCCAGACATTCCTAATGATTGGACACCTCCCTCAGAGCCCCACGCTCGGCGTGTCTTCATCTTTCATGCATGTTAAATTCACCGCCTGCTCAAGAACTCGATGCCATCTCCCGTGGGCTTGACCTTGTCCTACTAATCGCATCGTTCCTGTTGTCCATCACAGGACTACTCACCTAGGCGTTTTTTTGTGAGACACGTCGCTTGGATGGAGTTACATGAACATTGTAAGGTGATAGGAGGATTCCCGAAGCGTACTACAGATGTCATTGACCAAAATAATTCGCTCAGGAAAAGAAACCATTCAGGTTGGGGCGGTTTCAGGTCCTGGTTCACGTTGGTTTATTTCGCATGGTGCAATTTTTGCTCGCCTCCTCTTTGGGGTGTCTCGCGGCCGGTAGGTATACCTTCGGTTCAGATTTAGTTTTGGTGCTGACTTGCTGGAATTCTACCAGCTCTTTCTGCCATTGTTCTACGGGTGAATCGCTTTACTTCTCTTGCGCCAGCTGTCACAATCAGGGTGCTCTTGGACGCTGTTTTTACGACAAATTAGGTTACTTCAGCTTGTCTTCTATTTGGTGGCGTGTGGTTCGGCATTGCCACGCATCACATTCTAAAGAATGATAATACTCCTGGTGTTTTTTGGTGGAACTCATGTGAGCTGCAATTTTGGAGCCGTTTCTTTAGTTCTTATACATGTTCAAATCGTGCACTTCGAATTATTCGCTCTTCTCCTGGAGCCTGCGTCATTGACTTCTTCAATTCAGCAGTTAGTCATATGTAGGTCTGTGCGCAATATTCTGGCGCTTGCTCTTCGACAATCATCTTTCAGTCTCTTCGCCTCGTTCCCCTATCTTCTCAAGCACTCGGAATAAGATCTCACGGGCCTCTCTGCCTGCACGGCGAAGGAATATGCCTGTTCCATTTGTCAACGTTGTCAACAGTAATTTATACTGAGTGACTCAGGTCAGTCATGGATTTCAAGTCTTACAGGTCAGCCTGCAGTTCAGCGTCACATCTGTAAGCTCCTTTGGAATACATTTGAACGATCAAAATTGGCGTCAAGAGTGAAATGAAAGTCGTTACCACTGATTTGAAAGACCCTCTAAAGTGTTTCATTGTCAGCCCCCTGTTCAGCAAGTATGACGCGGTGTTGAAGGGAGACAATGGATTATATGCTATAGAATATTCAACAATCATAATCACAAATTTGTTGCAAGTAACCCATGGTGACGCTAAACCACAGAATAACAGTCAATCAACTCCTCCGAATCATCGCTCGCACGTTCCTCTTGAAAAAAGCGCCCAAAATTAATGCAAGCGTGTAAGCCCACATAAGATACATCCAGCAGTTCGCAGAATTTACCCCTAGCAAAGGCCCAAGGCCGCCTGAATACGATATCAAAAAGGTAAGTGCAGACCCTCATGCAAACCAAAGAGGCACACGTACAGCTCACCACGCAAGCCCAAGACAAAGCATGATGAAAGTCCGCCAACCGAGTAAAAGCAAGGCAATTCAACACCGTCATCTTGGGCGGTTTCTAGGTCTCACGTCAATGAAAGCTCACTACGTACTAGAAAATCCCCTACGCGGGCCCAATTCTTTTGTGCCTCCATCCGAATGGTGGTCGTGGCGAACATTTTTCGGTATTCGATCTCCAGGGTGAACATCAGTGCCGAGAGTGCCCACATAACTTCGT